CCCCAAAACCCCAAAACCCCAAAACCCCAAAACCCCAAAACCCCAAAACCCCAAAACCCCTATACTAATTCTAATAATAGAAATCAATAATATTAATATGGCCAACGTGCATAGGATCGGCGATTACCAGGATAATGAGGCCAATCCAGGCCAGAGACAAGCCAGAATGAGAGGCGGAGGTGGAATGTTCGGAGGTGACCAACAGAACGAAGAAGACGCTAGGAGTAATCCTCTGATCAAGGCTTTCATGAGTCAGAACAGTACTCCTCCGAGACAGGAAACATTTTGGACAATGCTAAAGATTTACTTCTGACCAACGTTTACATGGAAAACATGAATATTTGTGCTTACCTTTGTGAACGTCACTATGTTTATCATCTCTATTATAATGACTGATGGCTTTACTGATGATGCTTTTCTTGGAATCAAAGCTAAGACTCTTTGCAAACTTGGAGCTAAAGATGTTGATTTAATTCAGCAAGGCCAAATTCATAGATTTGTGCTTCCAATTATTCTACATGTCGGGTTCCTTCACATTGTTAATAACTCTGTATTTCTTTTAGTTATCGGGTCTATATACGAAGTGCTTATTGGTCCTCTCAGATTTCTTGCTGTCTACATTGTAGCAGGAATAGGAGGAAATTTATTAAGTGCATTGTCAAATGACACTATTTCAGCCGGCGCCAGTACAAGTTTATCAGGACTTGCCGGAGGATTATTGGCATTTTTAGTTGTAAATTGGGTAGCAATGGAGTCAACAAAACAGATTAGGTGTTGTCTCCTATGATTAGTTATTATGGTTACCTTTATCACAGTAATGCTTGCATTGCTAGATCTTTCTACAAAAGAAAGTAATATTGACAATCTTGGCCATCTAGGAGGATTTTTCACTGGAGCTTTGTTTGCTCTTGCAATTACTCCAATATTACATACTTCGGTGAATAGACATAGAATGCCAGGATGGACATATGAAAGATTATGTAAGGTAATTGGAGGAGCTCTATGCTTTCTCTGGTTTGTGATAGGAATATCAATGCTTTACACTCAAAGACACCCAAAAGCTCAATGTGCGTTATTCAGAATGGTAAAATAATTTTAATTCAATTGGGCATAAAAATGTTGGGGTTTTGGGGTTTTGGGGTTTTGGGGTTTTGGGGTTTTGGGGTTTTGGGG